AAACCACTTTGAAATGGTTGGCGAACAAGCGTTCGCAAAGTTCGCGGAAACTTGTCGGAAGAGTTATTTGCAGCGTGCAGTTCCGCGCAGCCGAGAGAAATATGAACGTACCGGGGTAATCCGTGTGGCCTTTTACCGTGACAGCGTAAAATCTTCCGGTCCAGAAACAACGTCGTTCCATTCGAGACGAAGTCCCGGTGAAACTTTCCCTCGTTTTCGCGATGCGCGACTCGAGTTTCGCGGGACTCGCGCTCTGCTCGCAACAGCTTCTTCTCGTTCGTTACGTCAAAGATAAATTTCGCGAGGCAATTCGGAAACGGTCCTCGGTAAATTAGGGCGGAGAAATATTAACCGAAGTATTGATAAATTGGTTTTGGCAGAGAAAATTTAGACTCCTTGGACAGCGAGGGTCGCAGGGCTCGAAGGGAGCGGGCATTTATTGGACGGATAGAATTTTATTGGCGCAATATCGAGTAACTTTCATTTGTCAACAGTGACGATGCCCGTTGGATGTCGGTTCTCTTCAAAGCGAGAGCCAGTCACATGTCGGTGGGACGAATAAATTTTCGATAAACCGACGTCGACGGGCGACGATCGCTCCGATTTCGCTGTCCCGACGACGCGACGGCGCGTATCGAATTTCCGTCGTCGAAATAACGCTGAAATATGCCAGCCACGTGACAAGCACACGTCTGACCACGGGATGCTTCGAAATAAGTCGTAACCCTCCAGTCGAGACTTTTAGTACGTATCGAAAATGTAAATCATACATTTTTCTATAACCATCAACCCCCTGGAAACCCTCGAAATTTGATTACAAAATTGCTTGATTGCAAGAGGTATCAGGGGTAGTTTATTCAAGGCTTTCCATTCGATTTTTTAAACATTCCCAAGGGGATTTTGACTGAACCACGTCCAAGGTCTAAGTGAACACGTTAACAAGTCGGAAGAGAGAGAAAGAAGTGCCTCTTCTTAGATCAAGGAAAGCGTCGAAGCTTCGAAATATCGAGGGGTCGGAGTCTGGTTAGCATAATGTCAGCCGGGAGCGACGGCAAGAAAACGGCAGACAGGATCAGGTAAGACGGTGAGGAATTTCTTAAAAATGTCAGACGGGACTTTGGAAGGGTGGAAAGTCACGCGTTCTATACGGGCCGCCATAAAATTTCACGTTATCGACAGTCTGGGAGAGGCGGTACGCGGATGTAAGCGGGAAAATATCCCCGTAGGCGCGACACCAGCTCGCTTGAAAGTCTCCTCCAAGTATCGCTGCGAATTGCCCGGAATTTTAAAAGGCATTCGACGAGTCGTAACATTCATCATTTTCGCTATTATGCGTCTATTCTTATCGTGCAAGAGAAATTTCGAACGATACTATTCAATACATACAGGCCGTTTGGTATTTTGAACGACCCTGTATCTTATAGACGTTCGCGTTAGCTTTGAAACGTTTTACGTGGTTATCAGTTACCGGAAGTCGACTTACTAAAATATCGTCGATCATAGGAAGTAGTAGTTTGAAAAACTAAAATTGAAATAATGAATAATATTTATCGCGATATGTCGTACTATAGATTTTTAATCGCGAGTAAAATATAAAATTATAACTAACTATATAGGGGTAACATATTGCAGATGGATCTATCATTATCTTTGATGTTCTCTACAAGTGAAATGGATTCCACAAACTATGAAATAAAAAGCTAACTCACTGTGCTTCTATTTCCACGTCTGACACGTACCCAGCCTATTTTCCTGTCTCTTCCATCATAGAGGTACAAACGCGTTCCTTTGTTCTTGAGAATGAATCGACCACATTTGTAACAGTCGTGCTGATTCGAAAAAACTTCGCAATCCGACGATTTGCAGCAAAACGGCCCTCATTCGTCTTCCGATAGCTCTCTTTTTCCCAGCCTAAAGTCATTCGATAGACTAGAGCGAAATCTTTCTTCAGTTTTATATTCTGAATCGACCAGTTTGGAAAATTTACGTAACACAAAAAGCTAAAATAATTTCGCACGATTACACGAGGACGGGTCTCTTCTTCTCGCAACCACGTCTCGTCAGAAAAAATTCTTTCCCGCAGATTCACTGTCGCGTACGCGAAATATAACATGACCCTTAATGCTAGCCGGGACCCCGTGTAATATCTCTAATGCCAGACCGGGCGAGCTGAAAACGGGACGCGTCTGATAATACACTTTTTCACTCGATCCACCCTCCCGCGTCTCTTTGCTCGCCGGCTTTCGTGCAATTACCTGGCGAGACGCCGTCCATCTCCCGGGAGATCTTGACTAAGGAGCCGGTCGGACAGACTTTACCGGGATCTACGCTCCGGCCTGGCTACAATGTAAGAGTACGCCGCAGCTGGCAGTAGTATAGACGTAGCTGCGGTCAGCCGCGGCCCGCCTTCTGAGTAGTTGAGGCCAAATGTGGGCCGACAGGTGCTCCTTCTTCCAACGGACACAGCGGGAACCGTAGATGAACTTTGCAACCGGTTCCCACTGGACATCTCGCTCGAATAAACGACACTATTGATTTCACCGTTTTCTTATGCGACAGCGAAAACGTTCCGACAGCGAGAAACGAACGTTCGCAGTGTCACGGTGTTGCAACTAGTCACCGAGCTATTCACGGCGATCTTAATTTGCAAACTATTCCCGTAACCGGTGCGGTACGTGACGACAAACTGTCGCAGCTTGCACGCACCCACCCTTCCTACACCCTGGCCGATGCCACTGGGAGACCGATGGAGTCCTGCTGGACACGCAACGTCTACGTGCCAGCACTGGGAGAACCTAGTCGCTTCAACGGCACGATCCGAGCTTCTGTTCAACCCCATTAATAGTCAGCACGTTTCAACGTTTACTCGTTTACGTTCGCGTTGCAGCTCGGTTAGCATCGAGCTCGATTGAAATTCGATGATGGTTTAGAAAATTGAAAAACAGAGCGAAAGTAGTAAGTTTTGACTTACGATTGAGAACGACGGTAAATAGAGGAAGGTTTGTGTACACGAGACGCAATTGGGAAATTATGGTAAAGAGAAGATTGCGCTGGCAAGCGCAGACAGCCTTCTAGCTGTCCATAGGCAGGCTGGTACGGAAAGTAATCCCAGCCAGCAACGAGTCTCGACTTCTTGCGGAAGATTCCCTCTGGCTTGCCTCTCTTCCTACCTTCACCAGCTTCCTTCTCATCTTATCCCTTCCGTCTTTCATCCGACATTCACTCGGTGCAAGAAGTTTCGCGTTCCAGCCAACTATTCGGCAAGTTTCGAGAAGGCTTACGTACCTACTGCACCGCTGCTAGCCGTCTGCTCGCATACAAACAGCCCCGGACAACAAAGATCCTTCTCGCTTGTTGCTCCGCGTAATCTCGACGCGTCGGCCAGCTCTCGGCACGCGGGTTAAGAGGATTGCGTGAGCCTCCCTTTGCCTTTGCATCGGTAATTAGACCAACGACTCCTTTCTTCCCGAATAACCGAATACTTGCGCTCGAATTCTCCGAGGCTCGTGCTCCAAACGTTTCCAAGGAAAGCTTGTTTTTTCCACGACTCGATTAGCTACTCTTGCTGCGAACCGCAGCGTACAATCTCGCTTTGTTGCCAAAAGAAGAAACTTCTCGCTCCAACCAGAGGATTCGACTGTAACGTTTCTTCGCGAGTAGATGAAAGCGAGAGTGGAGAGGTTCTCGAAGCTTGCGTTCCTCTACTGAAACGCGTCGGCGGTTTATTTTTGATCGTCGCGTATCTGCGAGCAGTGCCGATAATGGAGATTCGCGGCATCAAAGGGGACATCTCTCTCTTGAGAGCCCTTTTTGTACGCGCGCTGCAAAGTAACAACCCTGGCTCGTTTGCGTAATACGCGCGATTAATTGTCGCCTGTGTCTTCCCTCTTTACGCCATCGTTTATCGCGACGCCGATGGTCGTGATATAATTGAAAATAATCGGAATAAAAGTTTGCCATCAAACCTGTTCTTACTCGAAGAAGGAATCTCATGGCGTGGATGATCAAAGAAGCATACGACAAATTTCGAACAATTAAAATATCTTTAGGGACGTCGCGAGTGTCTCGGCCAGTGTGAATTATGAGCCAAGGGCGAGGAAACCTTCGCGTCGCGACGCCTTCGCTCGTAATTCATTTTTCAAAGCGACTGCAACACCAAAAGCGCGCTCGCAGTGGCTTCGTTAATCGAGATCGTTTCAACGCGAAATTTCATTGTTCCTGTTGCAATTTCTCTCGGTCGGATATATTCCAATAGTAATGTTGACGTAATTATTTCTGGCACATCTTCGCAAACCAGAGTCGGTAGAAAATGGGAAGACAGAAATTTCATTAAAAAAAAAAAAAAAAAAATTTGGTCGATGACACGAGGAAAATTACCAGGCGGCAAGGAAAAAGCGTACGCATATTCCTGGAGACGGTAGGGAGCGTGTTCGTCATCTTGGAGGTCACGTCACTGGCGTGTCTGACACCGCGACCATCCCCGGGGGAGTACGAGGGATCCGCGTCGCTTCACGCGCGTTTACACGCGTGTGCGTGTTCGCTGTACACGCTCACAAATGAAAAACAGCCCGAGTGTCAACGGGTGTATGATGGATGCGTCGGCTTTGACATAACGTAATACGCATAGACGCGATAGTCACGCTCTTTCCCGTATCTGTCTCTTTATTCCTACCTCCCGCGCTTCCTTGCCGCCCTCTGCCACCACAAACAACCACGAATAATATGCCGAGCACGTAGCGCGCCTCGTTTCCCCGTAATTTTCATCTGAATTTTACGACGCGTCTCGCTAGAAACCAGCTTCCCGGTAATTCGATGATCCTTTGCAAGTGTCATCCTCGATAATTGATATTATTATAATTACTAAATACCCGCCCGAATAACAGTACCGATTAAGTTTCGAAAATATAAATAATTGCTTTTGTATTCACGTTCTATTGTTTCAAGAATCGACGCACCTGCGGTTCCAGCCACGGGGTTAGCAGAAATAATCGAAACAACCCCTTACGCGAGCCATCGAGGAGGATGGAACGATCTCCAGCTTGGAGGGGAAGAAAAAATAGACGGGAAGCAATCGTATCATGAATATCAAGGAAGAAAGGTACGATCGGCGATCAATAAATCAGGGCGTGTACGGGGGACGAACACGTAGTCTCGTCCCTTCTCGTCGAAGGGACGAGAATGTCGTGCGGCCTGATGGGTTGCCGGCAAATAAAATACGACCCAATTTCGCGGTGCAAACCGCGAAACAATGGTATTGATCTTATTTCCATATCGGTCCGCCACGTAACCAGCAAACCAGCAGCGACAGCATCGAGCTATGGATGGATCGGACTACGAGCGAGGGTGAAGGATGAAGAAGCTGAAAGGAGGAGCCGCGACACAGGATGGGCAAAAGGGATGGATTGTAGGTGGAACAGGGACACGAGAGCAGACCTAACCCGGAGCTATATATCGAGCGACGAATGTCGGACGTTCAGGGTGCACGTCACGTAGAAGACTCTCTCTCTTTCGACGAGGTGAGACGGGGAGGCCGAAACAGAGACGTTCTCCTTGTGGACGACGAGCTGTCGTGCGACGCAGCCTCATCCTCTGGCAGAGGGCACGCACTCGCATAATTAAGAAACTTCCCGTGCCTCTCTTCTCTACCGTTCTTTCCTTCCCGGTTACTATTCGACTCGCGCCAACGCGACCCGATTAAGCTGTCCAGCCGGGGTGAAAATGAATTCCCCGACGAAGATTCATGGCCCTGTTCGAATCACAGGGAAAACGACCTCGTCATGGGGTACAATGAGGAATGAACAGACTTTCGAAAGGTGAACTTGGATATCCGGAGGTGCTAATACCTCGACGACGTGCAAAGTTACTTTAATCATACTGTAGGTGTAACCAGATATCCTGGTATCCATTCAAGCTTTAATATTTCAAATTTTTATCTTGATAAAGTGAAAAATTCTATAAAATTTCTAGGAACGTTCCGTAGCTCGTTACTACGAAAATCTGGCAATTTTCGTTGATATCCGTGTGGCGAGATCGCGATAAATCAAGGAAACATGGGGAATAAGAGCGATTTGTGTCGAGAGATTGGACGCAGTCCACCGTTTTCCTTAAGATCCTCTCCTCGTATCGTGGCTCATGTTATATCAACGGTCTACGCACGCTTTACGTCTTCCCCTCGAAGCGGATCGTCCCTAATACGCGTCTCGTTTACAAGAAGAGCAAGCGAGACCAGCCGAAACGGATACAAATGGATGTACTATTGAGAGAGCCTTGTAAAATGCTATTTCCACCGACGTTTCGTCGCTTTTGTGCACTTTGCATCGTCTTCGAGATACACCTAGCTGGTGGCAAGGGAAGAAACGTGCCACAGACACCTCTTTCAGCGGATATCGGTTTTCCGAAGGGATAGGGAACACCGATTGAAAGGCCATTGGCCGTTTTGCTGGACTTATCCTCTTTTCAACGTCTCTCCAGACTAGATGCATTTCGAGTTGACTTTAATCTAACCGGTGTGTATAAGCCGGATATGTAATTTATGGTGAAAAAGGGACTTTCTTAAGCTGTTTCTTGCTTCAAGATTTCTATCTTAACACTCGATGATCTTCAAAAAGGGACGGAAACGTTGCGATTTTCTTTCTTCGTTTGTTATCGAATAGAAATAAATCTAAAAGACGGAGGTCGAAAGACACAGTCTCGATTCGCCACATCATTCTAGCATTGTTTCAAAGAATCCAACGAACAATCATGTTTTATGCTCGAACGTCGAACGACTTTTTTCCAGTGAACACCGGCAAAAGATAACGTTGATTTAAGGCAGCACTCCGGCCAAAGGGGGCTGCTGACAAATTGCTGAAGACTGGAAAACCGACGCGGATGGAAAAGCGGCGGACGGTTGGATCGAAGACGAAAGGTAATATGTCGCAACGGAGAAGAAAGGTCTCGAGTTTTTGATGCGACTAGGGAGAAGGCCGATCGAAGCTGAGGACAATAGGGCCGATAAATAAGCCCGTAATCGGTGGTCCGCGTTCGCGTTTAACCCGAATCGCTCGAACGGATGGCAAAGGTGCTTTCGAGAGGGGAAAGAAACCGCTTCCCTTCCTTTATTCGCGTAAGCTCGATCGCCTGCACACCTCCGCCAAAAAGGGCTTCGACTTTTCTCTTTGACTTTCTCGATGGCGTCTTAACCCCAGCTTTACCAGTACCCTTCTTTCTTCTCGCCGCCAGTTATCCTCCACCGAACTCGTCTTATACGCGCGAGAATATCACGGGATAAAAGAAGAGGCGACTGTAATTAACGGCTGCTTCGCGTTGCTATTTTTTTACGAGCTCGCGAAACTACGTGGCACTCCTCGTTATTAAAGACGACGGCCGATGGAAGTCCGGGGACACAGCCCGCTCCGTTTTAGTCGGAGAGGAATTCTTGCGATCGCGATGAAACGTTCTTGATGAAAGAAAATTTTTCAAGCAATGGGATAATGATAGAGAAGTATGCGCGCCTGACGTTTCCCTTGACTATCGCTGCATCCCGTAGCGCATGAATGTCTCCTTAACGAACGACTTCCTCCTGGAGACTTTGACTGCTCAGAGGCAATATTCAAAATTTATCGCCTTGAAAACGAAAATTTCATAATAAAAAATTTTATTTTGCTTTCTCTATTTCGGACTAAATTAGGAATCGTATCTCTTTCATCGTTGTACAATTACGACCGTAGACGCGTGGATAAAGCACGCATCCCAAAGAAAGAAAATTCTACGACGATTTCAGTAACAGAAACATCACTAGAAACCCTCGACGCGAGAAGCATGGAACGGTCGCGGTCGCGTTACCCGCGACGAAAGAGGATAATCGCGCATAACCTCTATTTAAGCCGAGTGAACTGCGACGCGGTGTTCCCGCGGAAGAAAGAGGACTACCGCGTCCCGGCCGGCCTCCTACCCCGGCAAACTTTTTCAATCTGCCGTCATTATGCGCGAGTTTAGCCTGCCGTTTCACCCTTACTCTCACGGCTTACCATCCACGCCCACCCCCGCGCCTATCCCGGCCGCGATGCTCAAACTAATTTTCAAAGAGACGAGTAATGGAGTCGCGCGCCCGCCAAGAGTTCAGTAGCCGCTTTCGAAAAGGAAACTTCCGGTGTAAAGTAATTAATTAAAAAGCACGTATGAGCTCGTTCTAACCCCCTCTGACCCGTAACTTCCTTGTCGGTGATTTACAACGGCGGTTGCAGAAGAAGAAAAGAAAAGAAAACGATCTCACGCGACTGCGAAGAGATAAGCGACGAAAGAGAGTTCCCTCTCTAAAATGCCGGAATAATTACGTGTCAACGGGGAATGACGGGGCTATTGAGAACGCGGACGTAGCCGAGAGAGAAGACGACGTCTGTTTCGCTAAGAAGCCTCGAAATTGGACCGAGTGAGGAGAAGAGGATCGCGAAGAGGGAAATGTTTGTCGATGAGGCTACGAGTGTCCGTTTCGACGAGCTTCATTAGCTGGCTGGGTTCACGAAAACTCCGGGGAGACAGAAGACGTAAGGTCAATGAAGAGGAGAATAGCAATGAGAAAAACAGGGGGAAAAACGAGGAATAGGCAAAGAAGGTTGAAAACAAATTACCATCGGGGTTAGTCTTCTTCGAAGCAACGCGACGAGGCGCAATTTTCACCGCGGGTACCTCCGACAGGCTTTTCCTCGTCCTTTCAGAGACTGACGCTGACGAGACACTTTCCTTTCTGCCGCGAAGAATCGTTCGTTAGTCACCGACCGTCGCGTTGGTAAAAGACTCGGCGAAATAACGTATTATGTGACGTTACTGGACGGCGTAGGAAAGGGAGAGAAAAATTCGTGCTCGTTGCGGTCAGACCTGAAATTTCGGAACAAAAACGAAAGAAAAATAAAGGAGAGGAACCTTCCGAAATGAGATTCAGCGTTTTCTACCCTTAGCGGTCGCGTCGCCAGGGACGAGCTCTGCGGAGAAAATTCGAAACGACCCACTCCTTTCTTTCGTAAGAAGAAGCTGGATAGCATCAAAGAACCGACCGGCCAGGAATATGGGATTAATATTAGATTTATTATTTTCCTTTCGACGCCGCGCTTTCAACCTCTGCCTCGTCCTACCACCCCCGTGAATTCTGGAGAAAGAAAAAAAAAAAATGTATCGCAGGCCTGTGCAAACTTCTCCAAACGATAGAAGAAGATCCGAAGAAAGGGAAGAGAGTAGAACAAACACGAGACGTATCCGCAAGAAAACTGACGAGGGAGACCCGACAGCCAGACAGAGATAAACAAACAGAAGCGAAGGGGTACAAAGCAGCCGGTCTGCGAAGTACACGCGTAAACACACGCGTACGATTCGCAGACTTTCGCCAATGAAATTTATCCTGGCTACTTCTTCTTGTAACTGGCTTCGTGTCTTTCTCTCGCCACGTCACGTACCTACGCCTTCCGTGCTCCACCCGCAACTAATACCGTCATCCCTCTTTCCGCCATCGCCGAACTTTCCTCGCTGAAATAAAGCTTCCTCTTCGAGAAACACGAGTACACGGATGTTCCGTGACGAATTGATTCGGCCACGAGGGAACAATGAGAACCTTTTACCCGATGACTACGCACTTTTCCAAGCTGCCGGGGTAAAACGCATGTTCCAGCGATTTTACTCGCTCGGAAGATCGTATTCGATGCTCGAACGTGTCGGAATATGGGTCGGCGATAGACTCCTGGCTATCCAAGAGAGAGATTTGAAATATCATTTAAAGATTTCATCGTAATCGTCACGATGATCGCGGAGATTATACGGACGATGCGTGTAATGACGCGGAAATATAGAAATATGACTAACGTTTCAATGATAAATAGAATTTCCATTTTTTGAAACATCAGTATCTCGCGAAGAGGTTCATTGTATTTCAACGGTTTGTTTACTATGAAAACTCTGAAAAATCTATCCATCGAAACAACGAACCACTTCACGATTCACTAGCTCTCGTTCCGCTCGAAAATCGGAGTCCACTCGCAAACGTAGCTACGTAACGTAACACATCGAAAGCTCTTTTTTTCCCTCCATCTGATATTTGATCGATTCTACGCAATCGGCCACAGGTTGCCTAATCGTTTAAATCAACACCGAACGAACAAGGGGATACCCGGGCTTGTACACCATAACGCAGAGATTCGATTAACCCCTTCCAAACGAGACATTTTTGTTCAAAAAAGACTAACACCTATCGTACGGAAAAATATTGCAGAAAATTGTGTTGGTTTGCGGTGCAACGATCAGGTGAGTCTAGAAAGGGGTTAAGCGTAGTAGGAGGATCGAAGGTGTCGCGAAATTGAATCTCACTCGATCTTTTCTTCGGGAAGAAAGAACGATAAAGACGTAGCGGAGACACGAATCGCGAACAAAGCGACCGCCAATGTATATCGCGAGTTGAAAAATAAACGAGCCCGCGTATTTTCATTGCCGTTGACTTGGCGTGGTCGGGAAGAAGAGGGTTCTCGCCGCTGGCTAAGCCGTGCAGAAAAAGCACGGGAAAATCTGCGAGAAGCCACGACGAAAATGACAAAGTCCCGCGGGCATATATCCGACATTTCTCTCTGGTGGCTCGGGTATAGGTAGAGAGGCCCGCGCGCGGCAGCCTCCGTTGAAAGCGAGTTTCGTAATAACCGGACGAACAGCGAAGAAGAAAGGAGACGAGAAAGGGAGAAGAAAGGAGGAAAGATAAAAACAAAAAAAAAAAAAAAATAGAAAATAATCGGGTGGCGTGCTGTTCGTATAATATCCGGAATATTGGAGTCTCCTTTCGAGGGAACGATGGCGAATCGTAATAAGCGAAGACGAGCATCGTAACAGAGGAGATCCGTGGACCACCACAGGTCAGACCCCCGTCGATGGAAAAATTACGAGAGGATCCTTCGTCCATCCTCTCTATCTCCCTTTCCGCTGTTTCTCTTTCCCATCCCCCCTCAGAGGAAAAAGGAAAACTTATTCGACGCTGTTTCACGATCCGACGAACTCTCGAGATTACGCTCGCGTCTTGCTGCTTAGATTAAATTCCAGCAACATGGCGCGGCTTTAGATGGTTTCTCGCTAGATCTCGAGCTAACATTCCGAGCCGCGTGGGACTGCGGCGTGGAATTGTGCAGGGTAACGCGCTTCCAAGTGACAGACAACGCTTCACGGTGCTCGCGTCAAGCTTTCTTTTCGCCATTTTCATCGTGATTCTCTACGCAACCGCTGCGGGCTATCACGAATGAGACTGCAAGTAGGCCAACATTTTTTTCTTTTTTAGAAACTACAGGGGGTGCAGAATGGTTTCTCTGTTTCTTGACATCTCATCAACG